AGGCGTCTTAGAGAAGAGTTTCCGTTGAGCCTTGAGAGCTTGTCAAATTATAGAAATACGTTATAAAAAACATAAGCAGCACATCGGTGAAACGACGATGTTAGATAAAGAAGTAGCTCTCTAAGACAAAACAAACGAACAAATGGACAGCAAAGAAAGACAACTCCGCCCTAAAGCAACATCAGTACATGTTATACGATCCGCTTTCTTTCATAATACTTGCATTAAAGTTCTTTGTCATCAACCTACAGCCTAGCCTCCGGGCTAACGACTAGCGTTTGCAGGTAAGCGGAAGTTATTAGCGGGGTCGTTGACTCCCTAGGTGGGCCGCCCGCCCAAACATTACCGATGTAATAAGTTTTTAAGTTTAGTTTGATGAGAACACGAGAAGTTATTTTCAGACTCGTTTATAGTTAATTTATGTTTTATAAACATTTTGTTACACAGTTCATAGGCAATTAAGTTTTGTTATACAAACTTATTCATCCTCCTTGTTTACTAATGACTCCATTTAGAAGTCTATTTTAAATGATTATTATGTTACTATAATTTATTAAGCATCCTGAAGATACTGAATTTAAAAGTTCTTTAGACTTTACTATGGTAAAATTTCATGCGTTTTTATAAAACTACATGATAGCAACGACTTAGCCATAGTTTTTTTTAACGTTTTCTACTTACTTTGAGAAGTCTCAAGCACTGTGTTTCATTTACTCAATCCAATTTATGTAGCACTATACAATTTTATTATCCTATTGTGGAAGCGTACCTGCGTACTGCTCTAGACAAGTGAATTGCTCAAGAGTCCGATGCGACCAAAAATTTGACCACGTTAATGTGAGAATTGTTAGCTTGTTCTTAAAGCGTTTGTATAACATTCAATACAAATGTCAACCTTAATCGCACATGGAATTAACTTATAGAAGCGATTTCACTGAAGATTCTAATGGTTAACATTACGTGAATAAACAGTTCGTAAGCTACAAGCAATCGTCTCAAGATTGCAATATAATTATCCATACAGAATCATACTGCCTCATTACAACTACACACACGATTACTCAGATTTACTATACCGGGTATGTAAACACCAAGATTATTTCGTGTCTAAAACACATCCTTAAGGTTGTCAAACTCTTCAATTGTCTCAAACATAAATTTTGATTTTTATAGTATTTATTCATTCTTTTTCCTAAAACCGTGCCGGTACAACAATAAAAAAACCTAGAAATGAGAACCGTTGATTAAAATAGAACATTAAGGAAAGTTAATTTTAAATATTGCATTAGTATTTTTCGTTGATAACTGTAATTTTTCTGTTAGCCACTCCTGGGCGTTTGCTGGATATTTGAGTAAATGAAGATGATTGTCTTCCGTCAAACAGTTCAAAATCGTCTTACACGTTCATATGCTTAACAGCCAATCATTAGCCGATTAGAGTCATACCTAAACATGAAAATTTTTGCTACTTTTAAATCATATTCATTTGATGAAATGAATGGTTTTAGTTACAGAGATTTCAAATGTGGTTGAGATTTCGTCATAGACAAAGATCAATGGCATTCAAATCAATCAAAAGTCTGTTTATCGTAAAATACGACCTTTTTTAAGTTTATACCTTTCGCGAGTCTTGAATAATAAGTAATAATAATTAAGTCGCAGTGGTTTTGTAAATCAGTCACAAGTGTGATAATATGATTTATCACATGTGATTGCAATTTTATTCCCTCCCTAGTCATATATCATAAGTAAGTGGAGTCATTGCCGAGATTTTAGTAAAATTAACAGCAAAACTGATCGCCTGCTGGCGACTCAGAAATTGGTCTATAATATTCACCACTCAACCTCTTTCAAAACAATTTAAAGCATTGTAAAGACCAATGTATGTTTAAAATGTTATAAATTTGTGCAAATTTATATCTTAATCGTTAATGCAAATAATTTTATACAATTATAATACATATTTTCAATTAATTTTAAGTTTTTTTTTTATTAAATAAGTTTTTTTTTTAACAAATTTAACAAGCTACCCAGAAATTTTAAACATTTCAACCCTAGTTTCTAGGCAGGCTGTAAACTTAGGAACAGGCGGGTTTGAGCGAGTGCTCGACGTAGACCCACTAATTGACGACGTTATCGAGCACTCAAAGTCTCGAGCTCGAACAAACTTTGGGCTTCAAATTCCAATTTTAAACTAGAAATGAGCACGGTAGGCGTCGGTGTGAAGTTTCATAATAGCTTGAGTTAATATATATAGGTTTTCCTTAGGGATGATACCAATGTGTCATAATTCACTGACCAAAAAGATGGAAGCTGAATACCTATACGATATTTATGATTAAATGTTAAAAAAACGAAACGGAACAAACAAATTAAGAAGGTGCAAAAGATACTATTTCGCAAAAAATATTAATGCCTCAAAGTTGCACTGTTGACCTATGCGTTTGTCATATGTAAGGTTTCGAACACGACGAATCACATTGTACATTTTACAAGAATATTAGAACAAAGTTTTCGGTTTGCAACTAAGGAAGGAACGAATTCCGCCAAATTAAGTAAATAGCGCCGAATGATAATGCAATTAAATGGTTGTGTTACACGATAATTGAGGTCAAGCCATTACACTTTTAGTGAAGCTAACTTTAACGGCCCAGTTATGTCTCTATTGACCTGTGACATTAAAGAAAACCGTTGTCGGGTATATACTAACAGAAAAGGGGCCATTTTATAGTTCCAAAATACAAAGGCATCGCTTGGCATTCAACACAATATGAGACCTTGATATTAGTTTGACAATAAAGTAAAATTTATCGCCTAAAGTTTTAACGTATTTAATACTAAATGCCAAGTCTTGGGATGATGACCATGAAGAATTTCTTGATTGCATAAACATTGAATACAAAAATACAATACACTAATGCACATTACATCGTTTCTAGGTATGTCACTATTCTAAACTTAGGTAAATGCATGGTTTTAGAATTATTTTCAATTATTTTACTAAAAATACATAAAATATTGAGGAAGAAATTCTTGTGTTGAGTATGCGCGAAATTGCTATTTCCCATTTCATTTGACACGACACCTTGTGTTCAGATGAATGAGCAATGTAGACTGAAATATCTGAATTTCGCATAAACGCGATTGATTTTTTTGGGTTCTTATAGGTATGTTCGAATATTAATACTCAAAATACGATTATTTACAATAAAATTAAATAACTGCTGATATCTAGCTAAGATCTAGCATTTGATGGACAGAGGCTGTAATATCTCATCTTCTACATATTATTACGTAAAGAGATTTCTTTATGCCTTTTTTAAGCATATTTTTGTGTACACATTTTTAGTACCATAGCTAAGATCAAAACTGTTAGTGTTAGCTATTTATCAGACTAAGTACATATTGTGTTATGTTCTGGTTGTGTGCCTAAATAAAATAGATAAACAAACTAGGGACCGTGAACTTTGAAATACTCGTAGTGCATAAGTAGAAAAGTGGCTCATAAGTTTAAAAATTGTGCAATATGGCTACAAGAAGCCACCTGTCTATTACGATAAGTTTATACAATGACACTTCAAGGCAATGGTATAAAATTAAATTTAAATATTTAATTTTATACCATTAATTATACCAACTAAATTAATTTATTTTGCGGTTCAACCACTACTTGATCTCTAGCATACCTAATATCAATGTGATGTGATAAAATTTTGCGGATCCTTAACCCTGTAACCACTTTAGAGCAACAAGTGTATAATATTATAGAATAGACATTCATATCTACTGCTAAAACACCAAACTTCTCAACTACTTAACTAATCTTGTGATTGGTGTATATTAATTTAATATAATAATATATTCTACCACATACACACAACGCCATCTAGTCCCAAACTAAGCAGAGCTTGTACTATGGGTACTAGACAACTGATATAAATCCATATATACTTTTTTTTGTAAATACATACATAATTATATATACGAGTAGAAACACCCAGACCAAATCAAACATCAAATGTTCATGCACACAAATGTTTGACTTGAGCGGGAATCGAACCCGCGACCTTTGAAATAGCAGTCCGTTGCACAAACCACTACGCCATCCAGTCGTCATTATATTAAACATATCAAACAATTTATTAGACTTCTAACTATAAAAATATTTTGTTTAACGTTAACTTCTTGACGCAAGTGACTATCCGTATTTCGATATTGACCGCCAGACCAGTGGCATGTGACCTACTGCTATAGCCAGGACAAATGGCCGTGAATCGAGAATATTTCAAAATTAATCATCTTTTCTATGTTTTTTTTTCTTTTTAATCTGTTGTTAACTATATTTATTACATCAGAGCCGGAAAGTCTTTTTTTTAATTCTTTTTCTCTAACGACATTTGTATTTCACATTTACAATTCACATCAGATTGCATGTTTTTAGAGGAATAAAAGATTGCGAAATCGCAGTTTATGTAATTATTTATCAATGTTCGTGAGTGTAAGGTATATACTCGTAGATATTTCTGAAAGCAGTATCTTACACACTTTGGAAATGAATCCTTTACCATTTAAAATGTACGAGGCTCTAGACCGAAATATCTACTACATAATATAATGAACATGCCTATCACGATTCCAGGTTGCGAATGAAAAATGCAATGCACAGCGTCGAGCCACTGAATGAGTGAACCAGTGCTATGTGATTTCTTTTTCACTAAGCACACGGAAAACGGTTACGTTGCCAAACAGAAAGAAACATTTTACCAAAAAAACCTTTTTTGTTCTACATTTTTACTCCACTATTTTCTACAGATTTGTTCAAGCTTCTGCCAAATTTAAAAACGTATGAAGCCAAAGTCCTTCTTATGGAGAAATCAAATATAACAAATTTATCTATATATATATAGAGGAAAAATGCTGAGCTATGCAAAATCAAGAAATTTCTTTCCAAGAACAACTAGTCTCGGTCGTATACATTTTACGTTTTAAATTTTCCTTACCCCAATGGATACCGGGTTTTGATTTTCGAAAAATACCTGCAACAAAACGAATTCGTCTATTAGAACACACAAATAAACCTTTACTTCCTATTATCTACGCTTAATTACAAAAGTTCCTGTATATATTCGCAAATATTCATATGTATGAATAACTCTATCTCAATAGTTCAGGGTTTTTCTACACATATATATTATGTATTAAAAAGTATTTATATATCTTTATCTGTGTTCTAAAACCAATAATAAAACAAATTTTAGGTCTAAATCGAACGTCCCAGATATTTATTAAATTATTTATTATTATTTTCGAAACGATGAATTATTTATTTATTATTCTTTTAGATTCTGGCTCCTATAATATGTTTTTTGCATCTTAAAAATATTCAGGCTTTATTTTCTACTACTTTGTACTCCGTAATTTAAATTTCAATGTATTGGTTGTGTATAAACAACAGAATAAGAAAAACAGACCTTTTAAAATATGCAATAAAGATTTATTCTTAAATTTGAGTGGTAGAGAGGAGATAATAGCAGAGAAAACTCAACAATAATATCTTAATCTCAGACTTGGTAACAGACACTCGCCGGCGATAAGTTGGGTCTATCCAGATTACTTTAAGACAGTGGAGACTCGATATAAAAAGCCGTATGAGTTTTATGCCACTAGAATTCCATTTATTCCAGTATTTCTATTTCATATTAAAACTTTTTTGTTTATTTAGTTTTATTTTAAATTTTTAACATAATAAAATATAACGGTATAGGGGAGGGCTTAAACTTAAACATTATTAGTAGTATGGTCGTGGGATATTTTTAGTGCATTTTTTCAATAGAACTAGCTTAATATGTTAACTACTCAATGACGTCACGAGATGAGCTTAGCAAGCGAATGTTGCTAGTTAAATCTAAATTCAGATGTTCTTATTTCAACCTTAAATACAGCACGCTAATTAAATGACAAAGTAGCTAAGTAAAATAATATTATAAATCATAATAGATATTGAATCGACGAGCCTTTTTCAATTTTATATCCATATCAATAAAAAAAACCTTAATATACCTACTATTCAGTCGCTGTCAATTTTACAACTCTATTGATTGCGTAGTATGACCATAAACCTATTCACAGTATTACCCTTTATGATTATACTTCATTCGATTACATATATCTCTTCAATCTACAGTGCCTACACTGCAGTAAATTTATGCGGGGACATGAATAAATCGAAGATATGGAGGTAAGGTAGCTTATCTCAAGAGATATTGCTACTATAAAATATCCAAGGCGCGAAAGTCTCGCTCCATGAACTGCTACAGAAGATAACCAAGGAAATATTTATAAAACTAAATTATCTTAGCCTTATTTTTAGGTGGGTGGTCCCGCCTATTCGATGTAACAATTTTCTCCTGGTGTAAATAATAAGACGAGCTGTAATCAGATTTAATAAAGCAACGAGGTTCCGTCCGTGTGGTGACGGGTTAAGAATACGGAATGTCACCACCCCTATTCATCCGTCGTAAGAGTCGACTAAGGGAGCTAGTTACCCAGGACAAGAGCACTGCGAAGAGAAGGAAAACTTGACACAAACCCTATACCAACCCGTCTGGCCAGCGTGGTATAGTAGGTCAAAAACCTCCTTTCTATGGAAAGGCCAATGTCCAGCAGTGGACTATTAAAGCCTGTTGATGTGATGTGAGGTTGAACTTCTGCGGACTACCAAACACTGCCAATTTCGAGCCAATTTCACAAAAATATAATTCCAAAATTGCTTACATCTTACATAACCTTCTGGCAATAAACTCCCTAAAATTCACTGTTATGCAAGTCTAAAATGGGACAATAAATATAGGAAATTGGAAATCGGTAAATTTGGAACTCGTTCAAAAACTTGTATGACGGTAAAACAGATTTAGAGCGCTCGGGAAACTTCAATGTTGGCCCACAGGTGCAAGGGTAAGTCTTATGAAGCAATTTTCGACATTCAAAATTAGAAATTTATATGTAGGACGTGAGTTGTTGATGAGCTGGAACAGGCAACTCAATATTTATTCACATAAATATATACATAAGCTACCGTGAAACTTAATATACGAAGTTTACCACTCTGTACGTTCCGAATCAAAGTTGTTACTTAACCAAGCTATCGCTCAAGTACAATCTGGAAGCTTTCTTAATTTATTATTTTGATAAATGGACCTGGCAAATGAGAGCACTGATAGAAATCAGTCGTCTTTGAACATTGAGCGTTGGAATTTGTATCTCTTTACGCTAAGAATACATTTAATTAGCAAAGTGTGGGATTATTATATCATTGAAAACTGTATCTAGAAAGTTACGTACTATGTGCAGCACACGTTCAAATTACACAACATGATGATACAAAAAGTTACTAAACATAATACGTGATCAAACGTAGGTAATTAATTTCTTCGAAGAATGATAAGTGGTGAATCAATATGGTGTCCATTATCATTAAATGTATTTGTATTTGATATTGGTCAATTCGTAAATATGATAAAGTGAGCAGACATCATTACCTACCCTTATTTCTAGCTATAAATGTTAATAGCGTCACCATCGGCTGTGTGAAATGTAAACACGCCACTTTGATGATTAGGGTCATTACGTATTAGTCCTGGGTCTTCTGCATGTAATTAAATTCAATAGCTTGTAAGTTGTAATTATTGCACAAGTCCACTAACAAATGCAAATTGTGTACAGGTTGGTCGCCTGACACGCCAATTATCATTATAACAAATAATGCCTTTGCAAAAAGTTAATTTGACCATTTACATGATAAAAAAATAGCTGTTTTTGTTTCATCATAATATTATCAAAACAATTATTAATTAATACAACGATAATAACCGTTTTCGTAGAATCTCTTTCCCCTTGTAGTTGCGGGAATAACAACATTTTGAAATCACATCTGAAGAGGTGACCTATATCTAAAATAGACCTTTTATTCCTGTTATTCTATAAGGCTTACAAAAGGGCCTTCATTTTCTAAAATTTAGCAGTTATGTCAGGTTATTGTTATTATCTTGCCAAATTGTCGAACCAATGAGTTTAAAACATTCTACAAATACTTTTAGGCCGTTTACCAAAAAAAACTGTTAAGATAAGATCAATCATCGATATTTGAATTGTCTCCTAACGTAAATCGGAGGCTAATCTTTGAGAATCGGACGAAAATGGGACAACCAATTACAATGATAACATCGTAACCATTTTATGTAAATGGAGGATAAAGATTACGTTTTAGTCCAAGTATAAAGTGAATAATCTAATACGATTTTGATTACATTTATTATTGAACGATATAAAGGTATTATAAGAAAGCAAATTATTGAATTAAAAATATATTATATCTGCAGATTATAGATACATTTCAGGTTTCACATAAGCAATAACTATTTCGAGAGGGATAGTTGTCGCAAGACCCAGACAGTGCAAACTGTGTAAAATCGTTTGTTTTTCTTGAATAGTGCAACTATTAAAAAAAAACAAACGATATTGACTTTCAATACAGTTAGTAGATATTTGGAAAAAAAAAACTTTAATTGTGGACGTCGATCATGATCCAATACCAATAAAATCAATACTTTAAATAACCAATACTTTAAAAATAATACCAATAATTACCATCAATACTTTTAATAACCTTTAATACGTTAGGGTTTGCTGCAAATTTTATGCTAACCGGAAATGTAATCTTAAAAGTGAAAGCTCAATGTTTACAAAGCATACTTAAAGAAAGCGAATGTGACAGGTTTATGTTACACCTGTGTAACCCAGACGGAATGGCGCTTCGGCTCCTTTTACGAACATAAAAACAATAGATGTCATATGGCCTGCGGCCCGTGGTATCGTATTAGCCGATGAGTTCCAAATTAGATATCAATAGGTTGTTGAATAAGCATAATAAAAATAACGACGACTTCCTGTTGCATACTTGTATGCACACTATGGATCGACCCTATGTACTTATGTGTCCAAGATACATCGCTAATCGCTATGCTTTGTTATAAAATATCGTAAAACAACATAGTCAAGTTGTTAAAAGTACTACACCGATTGAGCTCTAATGAAATACTTCTATCTATTTTTTGTGTCAGTTTTATTCCTAATTCTGTTTGCCTATATTTCACAAACATTTTTAGACAATGATTAACGACACAACGTGGGAACAAAATAATACAAATACTCTATAGATTTTACCGCATTTAAACACATACAGCAAAAAAGAATTTATAAAATATATGATATACATAAAAATGTCAAGGACTGGTCGTAGAACTCAAAAATAAAAATAAGGAGAATCTTCAGTGCGATTGCGAACCTCTTCTAAATCGTAACTGAATGTTGTTTACAAAAGTGGTCACAAAATAAAAAAGTATTTTTCTCCATTTTTGCGACTAGCGCTAGTGCTGTGCGGTAAATAAGAATATTCTTGGCAGGTATTACAATAAGCCGACTTATATCCGAACTGTCGTTAGATAAGAACTTTAGTAGTTGCGAATCAAATGTCATGGATTTCAGGGAATCCGCTTATCTCTGTATCTTCGAAACCGACCGGTGGAAGTTCGTTCAGGGATATTTTTAAGCCCATATTGTAAGATAAGATTATAAATATCAACATCTACCTAGATTGATTTACGAGTACCGTTCATTTTGTTTCTTCGATCTCATAATCATACATGTTCCCATTAGACAAAACTTATTACAGATATTAACTGTGTAAAACTTCTTAGCGGTCTGAGAAAGTTATAGGAAATAAAACAGTGTATGTATAATACAAAACTGTTAACAGTTCTAACCTTAGAAAAATGTTTCAAAAGGAAAAATTTTAGTATTCGTAATATATCCGTATATTCAGCAATTACTGTGCCGCGTGAAAACATTAAGAGGGCGTAAAACGTTGCGTTTGGTAGCAAAGCGTATGGAACGCGGTGCATAGGCTCACAAGAGCATTCATTAAGGTCGGTGCAATCCCAGCGAACTGTACATTTACTAGTGAAAAACTACCGGAGGGTTGAAATAACACATAATTTGTTTTTGGCCTTTTCTGCTTCGCATTTGTCGCTATTGCAGCGTTTGTTTAAAACGGCTTTCATGTTGACAATTGTATTCAAGTTTTTGTATATTTACATTTTGTTGTAAATGTCTTTTATAATATTTGTACAACGTTTCAAAGTCACTGCATACTAATTATGTGCCAATTAGACAAGTCAAAACCTTGCGATATAAAAACCAGGTGAAGGACTATTACTTGTCACTACGAATGTGAATGTATTTAATTCGTTACTTGTATACATGTATAAATTTTAATATTTAAACATAAATTTGTGCTATTTTTAAAGGTCTAGATTTTCAAAACGATCATTTTACCTCCTTTACAGTATTAGAGACGGCTGTTGCACAGACGGAGCACAAAATCTAGAAATGAACAATCAACATGCACTATATGTGCATTATTTTTATTAATTGCTTGCTGCTACTGCAATTGCTTTATGTATTTAATTTTAATCAAAAAGTAACAATTTAAGCATCTACCTAATTTGTTACTTTTGGTTATTATTTTTTGTAATTGGTTAGACTCTTCTTATGACTCATTTTCACTAACAACATCAAAGACGTACTCTTGTATCAACGTATATATCAGTTTAAACGTTGCAAGTATCATTTTTCAGAAGCAGGCCCGCAATTATTGAGTAGTTGAATAGAAATAGGCACTCAATATAGAACAGCTCAATCCAGTTCCAATCAGAGCATTCAAATATAAGTAATTATGGTCATTCGTCTTGTAAAATACATTCAATAGTTGTAATCAGCTTCTATGCGTAGCAATTATTCATCAGTGGTGTTTTGATTCACTGTTATTGAAAAGGTTCTTTAGACTCGTCTAACGAGATAGTTTATCTTTCATTGTATTACTAACTAAAATTTGGTGACACATTTCGATAAGATATTTCATTTCAAACATTCAAATCAACTCTCTTTTTACTTTAAAATCTAATTCATAAGCGTAATGCACACACGGCTTTAGACGATGTTTAAGAAAACATTTATATTTTTTCTGTTTGTGAAAAATATTTTAAGGCAGAGATTTCACAATTAAAGTGTAAGCTATATCGAAAATCCTGTCAAGCGGGATAAAACCTCTTTAGTTTTACAGTGTGAGATTAGAAACCCCTGCTAGTACGGAGTGATGCGTGCTAAAGAGTGGAACTCGAGCGTCATTGTATATTCTTGTCCCGTCACCATGGGGTGGACAAAATCATGTATTGCTCTTATAGCTTTAAACGCTCTGTTAACTAAACCAGATAACAATCCATTACCTAAAGAGGTGGTCAAAACGACAATTTACCAAATTACTCTATTCTACTGGTTTTCAATGGCCATGTGATATGTAACTTTAAATAGACTTGGATTGGAAACTTAACGGACACGTCATTCATGTTCATTCATCCGCAACTTGATTTACAACGTTTTAATCCTATTATGTTTTCAGTGCTATACCTACATATACTGAGTCAAATCCATAGAAATTGCTAATCGATCTCGACTTCTGAACATTCGAATGGCCTAAATACGGTCTGCGGGTCTCGGTGACAAAGAAATAAATGACCTGACGTCAGATAATGTTCAGCTTTGTAGTCGACTAAAACATTATCAAGAAATATTTATTAATTTTACATTAACATTGTCCCCATTAATTGCTTCTCAATTTTTTTACTTACGCATTTAAAGAGGGACTTATTAATCATCAGGCATCATTAATTGATTCGGGAATTATGGTTAGTGAAAACCTTCAGTCTTATTTTGATTACCATATTATAAACAAACTACGTATATTGTTCTGAATTTAATTAACCAAATCAAAATTGATGTTTCAGATGCAAATACAAACGGAATTATTCATATTGTGTCGAGTTTCCTTATTTATTAAAACGTGTCGGTCTGGTTCTTGCTAGGTAGGTACTAATATTATTAATTAATCTTTTGTTTACATTGACAGAGTTGAATACCTATATATGATATTAAATCCTTTTTTAGATGAACAAATAGTGAAATAACCCATTTAATGTTAAAAAAAATCTTAACTCAGCGCAGTGTTTCCCCTCCACAAACAGTTTACGTGTGTGAAAAAAACGGAATGGAGGATCTATGGACGTATACTTGTTACATATTTTTCGGTCTCGCTGCCATCCGCTCAGAGCGTGTAACGCACGATAAGGAACTTCGTTCTAAAAGTTATCTTTTTTCAAATTATTAGCATATACTTTGGCGATTTATATAAAAGTACAAAATAATGCCACTTAAAAAACACACACATTTAATAAACACACAGACGTAACTTAAAAGCCAATTAAATATTTAATTACACATAAATTAATCTACAGGTTATAACTACATCGATTTAATCAAATTAATAAATTATCAATTTTATAACTGCTTACATAACTAATTTACGAGTATATTTATTACTTTTAATGTCCTGATTGAGTCAAGCTTTAAGTATACAAAATATGGAAAAAGTAATTTAAATTATATCATATAGACATTTCAGCAAAAACTTTATAACATTTTCTGAGTAAAAGTTCGTTTCTACTGATATTTTAAAAGCCATGTTTTCGATTGATATAATTACCGATTAATGGCTTGAATGATCTCAGATTGCATGTCGTGCTGTCAATCCATCGTTCGTTGACCGATGTCATCCCCGTACAAAGACGTTTCTAACAATAATTCAAACACTTAAGTAAAAAACTATTAGAAAGGTGTTGCTGATAATCACGACGGAATCACGTTTCATTGTAACGTTATACGATGTTTTAGACATTATTGGAACTATAGACAAATATGCTGTTAAAATATTTATTTAGGTAATATAACTCACTACATTATTTTACAAGCCTGGTCTCAATTTCAAAATAGTTCTCCAAAATTCTATTTTTTTAATTTTTCTTTTTTTACGGCTGTTACGGAACAAGTCACAATTTTTTTTTAAATGTCATGTTTTCCAAATGAACAGTTACAATATAATTAAAAATATACAATATAGATTACTTTTTTTTGTATTATCGTTACCATTTTTAGCATCACATAATTTGCCAACATTATATACAAGCACCTGTTGTACTTATACCTACATATATTATGTCAATATATTACCTCCCTATTATATAGATTATACAATTTTTAAATCTATATTAAGTAACTGACCAGTGTGTTGGAAAGTTATATACAAGGAAAGCTGATTTCACCAATGTACGTGTTTCATGATTACGAACTAATCAACGTACGGTGAGGCAACAGTAATTTACAATAACAATATGGTACAAAAAGTTATTTCTACTGTTTAAATTTTACGCTTTTATCTATCGTGTAAAATAAGTACTAGGTGTCGCATCATTTCAAGTCCGATTTCCATACTTTTTAAATCTTTCTGTTTATAATTCTGTATAAAAATTAAGACGGATTTACAAACTAGTGCCATGTTTGTTAAATAAAAGTAACAGATATTACATTTCTAGTATTATCATTATTAGTAGTACAAGGTAACTAATTGTTGAACTGCTACTGTTTTTTTTTTATTTAAAGCTTTGTACACTTCCCATAAAGGCGGATTCATGCCTAGAATTTTATCTTCTTGGTAATATTGAGAGTATGAAATGGAACATAGAAAGTGCAAGAATATTTTAGAAACTATTTATTAATTATTCGATTATACTAGCCAAAGTAAGTAAATTCAGTACATAAAATACATCTAGACTAGATCACGAAAACCTTAAACTCATTAATTGCCTGCGCGGCTGACAACTGCTGTGTAATCAGAACCCTTGACAATGTAATCTGATGTAGTATTACGCAGAACTATTATCTATTTTTATAGTACATGTTGCTTTCACGATTAGGGCATTTGAACCATGCAATCTAGTTCCTCGTTTTTTATCAGGAGATAGAGAGTATTAGAGAAGACATACCTATATTTAACTAGTATCTAAGGACGCAACTTATTAAAACTTCTTTTAACAAACTTTATTGGGTCAGTCTACGATCAGGTCAGGTCAGTCTATATTTATTACAGTCACTTCAAATCGATCGTTTGAATGCAGTTCGAAAATAGACTGCGGCTGAAAGTTTACTAAACATTTAAATTGCTTCAAATGTGTAAGCTTGATAGGAAAACAAAGTTTTTAAAATAGGACCACTTTAATAGACTAAAATAAGATTCTCATGTTCTATACTACTATTAGTAATTTTAAAAATATATTACTACTTAGTAAAAGATACAACTTGAAATAATTTTATTTGTATGACTTTTATCATTTTTAAACCAAAAACAAACATACATATACGAAAGTCTAAAAATCACGATTGACAATTGATTAAAACAAATTTAATTTCGAATTCAACTATTTTCAAATAAACTTACTGTTAGATATGTAACGTTTCGTTTCTGCACCATAATGACAATTTCAAAAATAATTGATTAAATAAACACGTTCGTTCATATTAAACACGAAACAAAACTGCTTTGTAACATAAGGAAAATATAATAATAGCGTTTAAATACCATTTATTAAAGGTAAAACTGCACATGATACATAAAAAGCTATTGTTACATGAGGTACATAGGCATGGTATCAACTATCCGTTTTTTTGTGTTTGAAATTATATTATTAAATATTGTACTATTGTTATCATATCACAATATTTCGTTCGGTTTTCCTAAGCACACACCTTGACGATAGGGTTATTAAAATAAAATGGTAGTCGATTTTGAATACTATAGATATTGTATACACACATGTTGAAGAGCTTAAAGCCTACAAAACAGAGATGAAAGTCGATAATGCTTGAGAGTTACATTGATATAGAGACTGGCAAAATGCTGCTATTAGCGTTTTCTATTAGATACGCAAGAGTGCGTGCGAGTCATATTTAGAAAGGTTTTTTTTTGGCCTTCGAAAAAAAATTTAAGCAAACATTAAGAAAAGGATTATCATCAAGCTTTATGCTTTCTGTTACTTTCTTTCTATTACGAGCAGTGTCACTGCTCGTAACAGAAAGCCAGTTTTATGTAATTCAAGACATCACTTATTATATTTGATGAATATGCATATCGACATCGACATACACGTCGACGCCAAAACCTCCTTTCCAAGGAGAGACCTATGTCTAGAGATGGAGTGGGATGGAATGGATTCAGATATGGAGTATGGAGAGACTAAAGGCCATTGATGATGATTGATGATGAACATATGTTATCTTTAAGCCCTTAGAGTAGGCAGAAGATTTTACAAACAATCGACCATTGTAAGAATAGGTCGATAAGTATTTTGTATTAGATAGGTGAACACATGTATAATAATAATAATAATAATAATAATGATACAACTCTGTGCACTTTCTTGAAGTCATGTATGGGGCAATGGAGAACAGCGCTTCGTTATCCAGGATGTCGGCAGACGACTGTAATTGATGCACCAATAAAGATTGAGCGGGGTATATTTCAAGGTGATAGTCTGAGTCCCTTGTGGTTTTGCCTGGCTTTGAACCCTCTTAGCACTTTATTAGAGGGTTCAGGGCTAGGCTATAGGTTGCAGAAAGATGATCAAGTTATATCTCACCTTCTTTATATGGATGATTTGAAACTACTAGCTCCCACCAAATTACAATTGTCAGCGTTACTAAAGGTGACGGAAAACTTTAGTAATTCTATCAAAATGGAATTTGGTGTAGACAAGTGTGCAGTCATGTATGTAAAGAAGGGTGAGATAGTAGAATCTGAAGGAATAGAGCTTTCCGATTCAACAAAACTCAGATCTCTGTCTGCCACTGAAACTTACAAGTATTTGGGGATATCACAGTCGTTAGGCATCCCAGAATCTGACATGAAACAAACGTTGCAGGAACGCTTTTTTGGCCGCTTGAAAAAAGTACTTAAAAGTCTTTTATCAGGGGGCAACAAGGTGCGAGCCTGCAATGGTTGGGTCATGCCGATTCTGATGTATTCCTTTGGTATACTTAAATGGACTCAGACCGAACTAGATGCCCTTGATAGGAGAGTCCGTACATTGCTGACTGCATTTCGAATGCACCACCCACGTTCATCGGTTATGAGATTGTATATCCCGCGAAAGCTAGGGGGTCGCGGATTATTAAATATCAAGACCCTACACAATCGGGAGATATGCAATCTCAGAGAATATTTTCTACATACCGATGTGGGAATGCATCGCAATGTAGTTGCAGTGGATATCGGATTGACCCCGCTCGCTCTGGCTAAAGAGAATTGGCGCAAACCTGTAGTATTTAGTACTAATGATCGTAGGGAAGTATGGAAGGGCAAAGAGCTCCATGGCCGGTTTTATCGGGCCCTAAACGGGTCCGATATAGACTTTAAAGCATCTACGACTTGGCTACGGTATGGTGATCTCTTCGGAGAAACTGAAGGTTTTGTTTGTGCGATAATGGACGAAGTTATCATGACGAATAACTATCGGAAATATATCCTGAAAGATGGTACGGTTGACATCTGTCGGGCATGCCACCGTCCTGGGGAATCAATCAGGCATATCATTTCTGGTTGTTCTCGTCTTGCTAACGGTGAATATTTGCATAGGCACAACCAAGTAGCCAGGATTGTACACCAACAGCTTGCCCTTAAATACCATCTTGTGAATCTAGAGGTGCCATACTACAGGTATGTGCCCGACCCAGTTCTCGAGAATAGTCGGGCCACGTTGTATTGGGATCGATCTGTTATCACAGACAGGACTATTGTTGCTAATAAGCCTGATATTGTAGTGATAGATCGATTAGAGCGCCGCGCAATGATTGTTGATATCGCCGTTCCTCATGACGAGAATCTCGTGAAAGTTGAAAAAGAAAAACAAATAAAATATTTGGATTTATCTCACGAGATTGTCGATATGTGGAATGTCGATTCAGTGATAATTGTTCCGATAGTCGTATCTGCTCACGGATTGATAGCCAAGAGCCTCGACCTACACCTTAAGAGGCTCACGTTGGACGGCTGGATCAAGGGTCTGATACAGAAGGCAGTCCTCCTTGACACGGCTCGTATAGTGAGGAGGTTCCTATCTTTACAGTCCTAACCACTGGTGTCTTGGTACCTGTACCCGATGTCGGTGGTCTACTATTTTTTATATTTTTAAATGTATTTTTATTTCTTTTGTAATATATTTAAAAATGTAATTAATATGTATATATAATTTAATAAAGAGAATAATAATAATAATCTCACACATCTCACACACGGCTGTCTGATCCCAAACTAGGCAGAGCCTGTGCTATGGTAACCAGACTGCTGATAAACATACTTATAAATTTCTAAATACATACATATTATAGATAAATTACACCCAGACACAGAACAAACGATCGTGCTAATAACACAAATATTTGTTCTGGGTGGGAATCGAACCCACGACCTCCGGTTTAGCAGTCAAGGTCACTAACCACTAGACCAACAATAATATACCCGTCATAAATATACTACGTTCATGTTGTAAATAACGATATCTCATATTAACTAAATACAATTATGTCATTATTACTAACAGATGTACATTCCATGTTAATATAGTACCAGACATTGTGACGTTTGCTATATATACAGAATGTATACACAGGTGGACATTTTTCGCTAGATAAGCGAAACATCACTCATGGTCATATCGTACGTTTAAAATTTGTGTCTTATATATTTTTGAACTTACTACCGCTATATTTATTTTATATAATATTTAGTATACTAGTGATGACTTGAAGGTAAAACAAAGAGGAAAGAGGATGTCGTAATGGGATTTCCGAAAGGCAATTTTACCATAATTAACCATTGCAGAATTTATTGTATTTTTTTTTATATTTGGAAACACCTAACGTACCTTACTGGTGGTGGGCATTTCGGGCTTGCTTATGCGAGGGCCGCGGGTCACAACGCCAATCATCATCTGGCTCACTGCTCTACCAAAAACTTTTAATTAATCTACGTTATAGAAGTATGACTAACGTGGTAAATATGGCTTTAATATTTGCAAATATAATTCAAAACTGTATACTGTTATACTTAATAGTCAAGCAGTTAATTTAAAGTGCAGTAAACTAACGTGACTAGAAAACTGACCAATTCTTAAAATAGAATAACACTGAAATTTAAAACTCTTAAAATAAGGAAGCGTATTAAAACGTGCTTAGAAAATCTCAATAGAAAAAGTATGTATTACAAAGTCTCATTGCATATTCTATTTGCAAACAACGCCACTGTCTCAGTGTATTACACCATCGTGCGCCGATTTATTCAGACTGCAAGACGATTACGTGGGCTACAAACATATTAAACATTATAAATAACCTTGGCTAGGCAATTTTCGTCCTCATTCCTCACTTATAAGAGCTATATTAAGCTACTGAAGTAAATCAAATAATTTGGTTGGCCTGTTGGCAACGATACAATGAGACACCTATGAGTCAGAATTGACTGGGGTAGACTATACCTACCTTCGGTTCGGTGATCTGTTATTCTATAGAGTATAATCTTTACTGGCCCAACACATTTGTACTCTCAACTATGCAACCAACTTTTTTTTAAATAAAAATAAATAAATATGTAATAATTAATATGTGTTTGAATAACATATTTATTACTATTGTCTTTTAAGTTATATTTCACACTACAGCGTTATTTTATCATCTTACAAAATGAAAAACTCAGAAATGAATACTTTTATTTATCTGTAACCATCTTCTAAGAAACTGCGTGGTCCGTAAATAAATAGATTTTTTTTCGCTCGTCTAAAAAGCATTCATGTTCGCAATGTAATTTTAAAGAGGCTATTTTGATGAACAAAGGCACGGATCGAGTCTGTGTAAAATGGTCAAATTAGTGAAAAAAAACCTTTTGTACCTAATGGCCCGATTGGGAATAAAGTTTATATTGCCTTGAACCACAGATTTTGCGTTGAACTGGACGATCAAGTCAGATGAAAGGGAAACCTGTGACTCATTATTGACTCATTCTTCTATCTGATTATGCAAAATAAGAGATAATAATAGACATTTACGGTTTTAATTCCTCACTAAGTTAAATTGTTATGTACTTAACATTTTATTTGTAGAAAAACTTGCTGTGCTAATCCGGTAATAAGAGTATAGTTTTCCGATCGCGTTCCGTGCTAATACCCGGCGTGCACTAGTACAACTGTCAGTTTCCGGGAGTTATACCAAAATAGATATATAAATCGATATGATTACGATTGATACAACACTTTAGATTACACAACACTAAGTTGTAACACGAAACTGATAAAATATCGTGGCGCATGTCAATTGCTCATTACTCAGTACAAAGCGGTTATTATGGTATAAATACTGATTGGCAGTTGCTGCTCTGATTAGTTCATTGACACTGATTTAATCGCTCTCATTGATGTTTTATGA